CCGTGCCCCCCCCCCCCCCCCTGTGGCAACACCACGGGGGCCCGAGGATCGAAGACGCCCACGGCGAATCACCGCCGCCCCCTGCCTTCTAGGATACGCCTGTGTGGCCGAGCGTTTGGGTAAAGCTTGGCCACGCCACTGGACTATGCGCTCCCCCAGCCGTTGTGGAGGCCCTTCTGGGGGACACGTGGGGGAGGAGGAGGAGGATGAGGAGAGGGAGGAACAAGGATGATGAGGAGATGGATGACGAGACCTCTTGGGAGCCTCTTGGGTCATTCTTGGGGCTTCCCAGGAGTTTCCTTGAGGCCTCTTGGGGGCCTTCGTGGGCCTCTTGGGGGCTTTTGGGGCTTATTGGGGTCGTCTTTGGCCGTCTTACGGCGTTCCTGGCCCGTCTGGCGCCGTCGGAAGCCGTCTTGGTAGCCTCTCTGGGCCGTCTTGGGGTCCTCTTGGGGCGCTTCAGATTCGTCTTGAAAGCCATCTTGGGCCATCTTGGGGCCCTTTGCGGGCCGTCTTGGGGGCCTCATGGGTCGTCCGGGGCCATTTTTGGATGCATCTTGGGCGATAATGGGGCAATTTGGATGGCCTCCTGAGCCGTCACAGGCCGTCGGAAGGCCGTTTCGAAGCACGCCAAAATCCTTCAACAATTTAAAGAACATCAGTGATTTTGGTGTCTTCGGGCCTTCCTGGGGGACCTCTTGGGGGCCTCTAGGGCCGTCTTGGGTGCTTCTTGGGCCGTCTTGGGTGCATCTTGAGGCCATCTTGGGCTCTCTTGGGGCCATCTCTGCAACCATCCAGGCGTCATGGAGGCATCTTGGTAACCATCTTGGCCGTCTGGGAGGTGATTGGGCCCTCGGAATTGGATTTTTCGTTGGTATGTGCGGCCTTCCGGGTGAAGGGCGCAATCGGTCGAAGCCCCAGGGGGAGTCCTAACAAGAGCCAAGCACAATTAATAATTCAGCACGCCAGGCGCCTCTGTAATACATCAGCAGGGCGCGGCGGATCTAGTGGCCTTCGGCCGATTCCGCGCCCGTGCCTAGGGCGTAGGTCAGTGGCCTCTTAGGTGCCTGTGGGAATCTTTCTAGACGCCTCTCGGAAGCCTCTTGGAGGCGGTTTGGGGGGTTTCTGGGGCCTCTCGGGGCCTCTTGGGGTCCTCCTGGGGCCCACTTTTGGCTTCTTCTAGGGCTTTGGGGGGGGGCCCTTGGTGGGCCTGCTGGCGGTCTCGGGGGTCATATTGAGCGGAGGGCGCGAACTGAAAGTTCGAGTTCCTTCTCTTGGGGCCCTCGTGGGTGCGTCTCGGGCCGTTTGGGGGGCCTCCTGGGCAGTCTTTGGCTCCTCTTGGGCCGTCTGGTGTCCTTCTTGGGGGCCTTGGGCTGTCTGGGGGGCCTCTTGGGCCGTCTTGGGCCCCTCTTGGGCCTTCTTGGGGCCCTCCTGAGGGCCGCTTGGCCAGTCTTGGGGCGATCTTGGAGGCCTATGGGTCCGTCTTGGAGCGTCGGATGCCCAAAACAACGAGAACGCTGACATCCTCCAACCATTTGTGATTTGGGCATCTCTGGGCCCTCTGGGGGGGCCTCTTGGAGCAGTCTTGGGGCGTCTTTGGGGCCTCATGGGCCGTCTGGGGGCTATGTTTGGCGTCTTGGGGCGATCTTCGGGCGACTCGGGGCCGTGTTTCCTCTTGGATCGTCTCGGAGCCCTCTTGCCTCTGGAAAAGTGAAGCGAAAATCCGCAGGGACACGTCCCAACCCACAGAAACGCCGAAGAACACCCAGAGCTCCAGGCTGTGGGCCCCTTGTGTAAAAAGAGTGTTGCAGTATTCCATGCAACGGGTTCTACGGGAACTGTTGACACTCCAGCTCGTGCCTTGAAGCACGGTGGCAGATTTATATGGAACAGGGGTGGGGGGGGAGGTAGAGGGGATGGAAGGGAGGAGGGACGAATGAGGGTGAGGAGGGAGGATGAGGCAGGATGGGTAGGAAGGGCAAGAAGGGTGCGAGGAGGGAGAGTGATGATGAACGAGACAGCTGATCCAGACACCGCGCCTGTGCAACAGAGCAGCGTGGGGTAGGTTCAGTTAACGACGCATGTTGTGGCTTATCTGGGGCCTCTTGAGGGTCTAGGTCTGTTTGGGAGGCCACTGGTGGTCTATAGGGGGACCTCTGGAAGGCCCCTTGGGGGGTCTCTTGGGCCTCTCGGGGGCGTCTTGGGGGCCCCTTCTGAGTCTCTTGGGGGCATGTTTGGGATTTTGGAGGCATTCCTGTAGGAAAATGGTGTCAAGGCCAGCTCGATTTCCCCCATCTTGGGCTCTTGGGGCCATTCTAGGGGGCCTCAAGGGCCGTCTTGAAGCCCCCCTGGGCCTTCTTGGGGCCCCCTTGGGCTGCCTTGAGGGCCTCTTGGGCCGTCTTTGGGCACTCCTGGGCCGTCTTGGTGGCCTCTTCTGCCGTCTTGGGCTTTCGGAAACCAGAACGGGCCATTATGTTAATCTCTCTTCAGAGCCTGCGGACAACCAATCTTCGTTGCTTCTCGGGGACCTCTGGGCCTTCCTCTTGGAGCCCTCTTGGGCCGTCTCGGGGGCCGCTTGGGCCGTCCTCAGTCCATCTTGGGCCATCTTGAGGTCCTCGGGAGGCCTATTATCACCCCCTTCGGGGTCATTCCCCAATCAGAGCTTGCCTCTGTAGGGGTCCTAGCGGATTAAAGGCTGAGGTGAGAAGTGCGGCCGATTTCGGTGGCCGGGCCCGGGTGCCCAGGTGCCCGGGTGCCCGGGTGCCCGGGTTCGCCGCCGATTCGGTGGCCGGGCCCAGGTGCCCGGGTGCCCGGGTGCCCGGGTGCCCGGGTGACGGGTGCCCGGTGCCCAGGTGGGTGCCCGGGTGCCGGGTGCAGTAGCCTTATAGCCATATAGCCCAATAGCCCTATAGCCCTATAGCCCCAAGCAAATTCTGATTGGGGTTTGTCTCCGGTATCATATTTTTGGTCGCTTGCTGTTTCGACCCCCCCTATCGGGGGCCTGTTTTTATCCCGCTTGGGGGGAGTTGTTTTGGCTTCTTATTCCCCAGCCAGAGCTTGCCTCTGTAGGGGTCCTACCCGGGTGCCCAGGTGCCTGGGTGCCCAGGGGTGCCCGGGTGCCCCAGTGCTCGGGTGCCCGGGGCTGCCCGGAGGTGCCCGGAGGTCCCCAGAGGTGCCCGGGGGTGCCCGGAGGTGTCCGGGGGTGCCCGGGTGCCCGGGTGCCCCAGTGCTCTATCGCCCTATAGCCCTATAGCCCTATAGCCCTATAGCCCTATAGCCCTATATAGCCCTATAGCCTTGTAGCCCTAAAGCCCAATAGCTCTATAGCCTTGTAGCCCTCTAGCCCTCTAGCCCTATAGCCCTGTATAGCCCTATAGCCCTATAGCCCTAGTAGCCCTATCGCCCTAAAGCTCTATAGACCTATAGCCCTTACAGCCCCATAGTCCTGTAGCCTTATAGCCCTATAGCCTTATAGCCGTATAACCCTTTAGCCCTATAGGTCTCTATGTCTATAGACCTATAGCCCTATAGCTCTATAAACCTACAGCCCTATGGTCCTAGAGCCCGATAGCCCCAGAACCCTATAGCCCTAAGAAGATTATGATGGGGTTTTTCTTTGGTATAATTTCGTATACCATTTATTACTGAAGGGAAATCCAAATCGGCACCAGGTAGGGGGGCTGTTTTCGAAGGGTGGTTGCGACGAGGGGGGGGGGCGGCCCTAGAGAACACTAAGAAGCCTCACCAACAGCAGGGGCACGTTCTAACACGCCCACTCCGTGCAGGCACGGTTGCGGATTAAGACGAGAATGGGGATCCCATGGACAATCGCGATCATGATGTTGTTGGATGATTCTGATGCTGTTGCTGATGATGATGCTTCTGCTGCTTCTGCTGATGATGATGCTGGTGGTGATGCTGATGCTGATGATACTGATGATGCTGACGATGCTGCTGATGATGATGGTGCTGAGCTCGATGATGGTGGTAGTGATGATGGTGATGGTGATGGTGACGATGATGATACTGCTGGTGGTGATGATGAGGATGATGCTGATGATGCTGATGATGACGATGATGATGCTGATGCTGATGCTGATCATGATGATGACGATGACGATGACGATGACGATGATGGTGACGATGATGTTGATGATGATGCTAATGCTGATGCTAATGCTGATGGTTATGATGATGATGACGATGATGATGATGATGATGATGATGATGATGATGATGACGATGGTGATGATGGTGATGCTGATGGTGATGATGATGGTGCTGATGATGATGGATGATGAGGCTGATGATGATGATTATGCTGCGGCTGATGCTGTTGTTGATGATAATCATGATGATTGCGATCCTGAACTTGATGATGAGGGTGATGATGATTTCAGTGGCGACGACGATGCTTGTGATTCTGATGCGGGTGATATTGATGAGCAGTCTGAGAGCGAGGGTTAGTTTGACGATGCCGATGATATATGATTGGTGCCGCCGGTGATGATGCTGCTACTGCTGCTGATGTGTGTTGAAATTCTAATGATGAAGAGGAGAATAATGCCACCTCGGGGTGGAGGTTTTCGCAGAGTGGGTCGCACACGGTTCGCGTTTTTCATCGTTGTTCTTCTCCGTTTCTTTGTCAGCCTTGCAGTGGGTAGTTAGCACGCTCCCGCAACTGCTTCGCTTACACGAGCGACCGCTGGCGCGTTTTCAGCTGATCGTGATGGCGAGGTTAAGAATAAAGAAGTCACCCTTCCATTCCATTGCATTAGCGATCGTGCTTGCATTCACCATTCGTTTCGTCCGATCACTATCGCCGCAGCCTCATTCAACTTTGATTGTGAGTGCCCGGACGTGCTCGTAACAGCTGGCACCTCACCGACGAGATAGCCGCCATGACAGTTTGGTATTGTCGTTCGCTTACCTTGCTGTTTCCTTTCTCCTCGCCTGCATTGCTTTCTTTTTCATATCTCGTGGCTGCTACTCGCCACTCGCAGGAGATTGCCGATCATTGGATGCCGGTGGACAGGTGCTAATACCATGCTGCTGGTGTCTTCCCTCGGATCTAGTTCGTCACTCATCACGCTGCTTCGCATGATCCTTCGTCGCTTTCCCCGTGCCGCCCCCTGCATTGGACACCTGCAATGCAAAGGGCACTGCCATCTTGAGGTGTCTGTGGTCAATTCCTGGTCCCCGTCGGGTGGCTCACAAGTTGCCCTCTCCGTCGGCTGTCCCGCTCGCTTTGGTTGTCGCCAGTTTCAGTTGGCCGCTCCAGCCCCTGCCCAGCCCCACCACCCCTACTCGCCCTGCTTGGGTGATCCCATCCCTCGTCTGCTTTGCGATGCGCAGCAAGACAAAGACGCACGCCTCATCGTCGCCAGCGCTGGCAGCCCCCTGCAGCTCCTACTGACTCGCCCCTGCCTGACCCCCAGGGTGCCACCGCTAGACCTGCTCGTCGCTGGCGCTGCCCAGGAGGTCTGAAGGCGCCGCAGGAGGCACCCACAAGCGCCTCTGGAGCTCAAGGCAGTCCGCGGGGCCCCTCACGTGAACTGCCATCGGCGCCTGCGCCCCTCTTCTCCTCGCGGCTTCGGGGCCCCCTGATGAAGGCCTGGGGCAATCCAGCAGCCATCAGGGGGAGATAGGCCCAGGGGGGCATGCATCGACCTCCAGTCGCCGATTCATCGCCGAAAGTGGCCCGATAGCCCACCCCCGTCCAGGAGCGTGTGGATTCGCCGTCGGGGGCCCATCGCCGATCTATCGGGATGTGTCGCCGAGTCCAGACCGGTGTTTCTCCCCCTGAGCCGGTCCCCCTCAGTGATCCTCATCGTCGGGTTTCCAGCCCTGGCGGCCGTTGGGGACGGTCGGGGCACCCCCAGAGCGCTCTCCGCGAGGCGCAGCTGCCGGATGGCACCCCGAGGCTGGGACGTCGACGGGAGTTGAAAACGCCAGAAACTCGAACCTCGAACCTGGTGTCCCCCCCCTCTGAGCCCGTTCTCCTCCAGCGTTGCCCCTCACTCTTGGGGGCCTCCCGCGGCTGCTGGATGGCACCCCGAGGCTGGGACGTCGACAGGAATGGCAAACGCCCGAAGCTCGAGCCTCGAACCTGGTGCCCCCCCCTCCTCTGAGCCCGTTCTCCTCCAGCGTTGCCCCTCACTCGTGGGGGCCTCCCTCGGGCCTTCGTGGAGCCCTCCCGTGTGCCCACACCGGCGATGCATCGCCGTGTCCAGGGGCCGTCTTGTGGCCCTCTTGGGGCGCTTCGGGGTCGTTTTGGAGCCCATCTTGGGCGTTTGCGAGGCCTCTTGGGCCGTCTCGGGGCTCTTTGGGGGCCGTCTTGGGAGCCTTCTGAGCCTTTCCGGGGCCACCTTGGAGGCCTCCTGGGCGCTGTGGAGGCGATCTTGGGAGCCTCTTGTGCCGTCTTGGGCCATCATCGGACGCCCTTTTGTTCCCCCCCGTGAGCGGGCCCCCCCCCCCCGACGCTGCCCCTCGCTCTGGGGGGGGGCCTCCCGCGGGCCCTCCTGCTCGAACACGGTGCCTCTGCACGCCCTGCCTGCCTCTCCTGCCCGTTTTTTTTCCCGCCGCCACTCGTGGCCCACGGGGGCCACCCTCCGTGCCCGCTATGACACACGCTGCAATCTATATACTTATATATATATACGTGTATGTATGTATGTATGTATGTATGTATGTATGTATGTATGTATGTATGTATGTATGTATGTATGTATGTATGTATGTATGTATGTATGTATGTATGTATGTATGTATGTATGTATGTATGTATGTATGTATGTATGTATGTATGTATGTATGTATGTATGTATGTATGTATATGTATGTATGTATGTATGTATGTATGTATGTATGTATGTATGTATGTATGTATGTATGTATGTATGTATGTATGTATGTATGTATGTATGTATGTATGTATGTATGTATGTATGTATGTATGTATGTATGTATGTATGTATGTATGTATGTATGTATGTATGTATGTATGTATGTATGTATGTATGTATATATATATATATTTATTCGGCTATAAGGCAGCGTGCTGAAAATGCGTTTTCCCGTCGTGATCCTTCATTCTGAGTCGGTGGCGGAGCTCCGGCCCCCTTCCACGCCGCCATGGCATGCGTGGCTCTCTCTCTCTCGTTCTCGCTGCGTCCGTTCCGCGCCCCGCTCTACAACGAGATGCCCAGCGTTGCCCCGCTCCACAGCGAGATGCCCAACGTCTCCCCGTTCTGCAACGAGATGCCCAGCGTTTCGCCGCTCTACGACGAGACATCCAGCGTCTTTTTCTTGTATATATATATATATACACATAAATATTCGCCTTCGCGCAGTTCTTCCACTTCGTCAAGGCCGGCGAGCTCGAAATGGACACCCTCAACAGGAAGGGCCGCTGCCCCGCGCCTGCGTTCTCGGCCTTTTTTCCCGGGCTCGCGCAGACTATTTCTGAGCAGGTCGCCGACCCGATACCCTCAATGCACTCGCCTGTGAGTGTAACCTCCGATGTCTGACAGTTGCTTGAAATAACGCTCAGATCGACGGCGTAGGCGAAAGGTTCTGAGCTTCTTGTGAATATGTGGCAGGGGCCATGGGAGAAAGTGGCGACGGACACGACGCCACCAGTGCACCGCCTGTGGGTGTAGCCAAAGGTGTCATAGTCCAGTATCATGTTGCTGCTGACGGCTGACGTGGCGGTGCCCTACGACGCTCACCTGGATCTGCAGATGCCTCCGTGCCGACCTACGCCCCCGTGGTGGCCTGCATCGTCAGGAAGAGGCACGAGTCCACCAAGCGGCTCGCAGTGCTACCTGGCGAGCACCGACTTCCCAGACGGCCGATTAGGCGTCATCGTCGACGCGGGCGCCTGGACCAACTTTTGGGGACAACGCTGTGCCATGAACCTGGCCGACAAGGCCCAAAAAGCGAAGCTGCGGCCCATGGGAAAGAGGCAGGAGTCGGCAACGGATCACAGGTTGCGCACGAAGAGGTACGTTCCCCCATTGTAGTGGCCAGCCGCGACGGCGTGACCACGCGGCGCAGCACGCGCGCTCTGGCTGTGGAAGGCGCTCTCCTTGTTTTTTTTGGCCTGCAGTTCGTGCAGTCCAACAGCAGGGTGGTGGAGACAGGCGTGGAGGTGCCTGACGTTTCCCGGGCCTGGCGGCCACGAATTCAATTCAAACCTTGGTACCAGGCACTTCGATTGGGAATCGGCGCCGCGAGTGGACACCCATGCGTCCCTGTCGACAGTTCTGACAGTCTTCAACCGTCTTTCCGGGGCCTCTTGCCTAACAGCTCGCACTGCGTGCAGTCTCGCGACCCATGGTCGTGAACTAGTGTCTACGGGCTCTTGCACCGCCGAGCACTTGCCTGCGTGTTGCCCTACGCTCAGGACGAGCCCTCGAAGGCATCGACGTCTTGGGCGGTGTGGCGGACCCCGACTGCCGCGGCGAGATCAAGGTGATCGTGCACAATACCAGTCCGCGGACATTCTTGTTCGAGCAAGGCCAACGGATCGCCCAGCTCATCCTAGAATGCATCGTCGGCGACGCGGATGTTGTGGTCGTTCCGAACATTCTCCGTCTTCTCGTGGATCTCAGGGCTCTGGACACGCCGGCGCGACGGTCTTCGGCCACCACTCGATCCTGAGAGAAGTAGGCGGCGCGGCGCCTGCAGGGTCTTTCGGCAACAGTGTTGCCGAATGCTCTACGGAGCTGCCCCTGTGGGAGGAGGGCGGGTCTGCCCGCAAGGCTGGCCCCGCCGACCTGCCCCGGCCCAGTCGGGCAGCTGGGCCAGGACGTCCCGCCAGGGCCCTGGAGAGAGGGCGGCGCGCGTCACTGGCACTACAGGATCACGACTTTGATATCATCGGCACCGCTGGCTTCTAGGGTGCCGTCGCGACGTTGTCCAGCGGCGCGCCCCCCAGCTCCGCGCGCGGCGCGCTGTGGATTTCGCGCGGCGCGAACAAGGGCGAGACTCAGCTAACTCATCCTCGACTCCCGCCCTCGACAGGCGCTGGCGCCGGGATCGCGCTCTTCGGCCGACGCGGCCAACGTTGGAGGCAACCGCCAGTGAGACAGATGATCGACGCGCGCGTGCTTCGCCCAACTCAGCATTCGGCATGCCGCGAGCCTTCGGCCCCAGGGTCCCTACGCATCAGCGCAGCATTCACGGTGCTGACCAGAGCGCCCATCTGCAGCCCGCTGTCCAGATGCGACATCAAGCTGGGGGGGGCGCAAGGACGACCGGGCGATCGTCGGGGGAGCGCGCGCCGCCTTTCTGTGCCGCGGGGCATTGCGTCTTTCGTCCTGCTGCAGTTGTACTTCCATCAGCGCGCGCGCGCCCCGCGGTGGGCGCGCTTTCGACGAGGCGCGGCGGCAGCTTCAGCGCCAGACTAGAACGCATCTTCCAGTGCTACGGCTGCGCGCAATCGCGACGCCGAGCCGCGCGCTCAGGGCCGGCGGCGCGTTCGGGGCGGCAAATCCGACCATCCGCGGGAGACGCCTGGCGACTGCGTCGTCGGCGCCTGCCCTGCGACGGAGCGAATGCGCCAGGAGTCGAAGATTGCAGTGGGCCACGTGCCCAGTGCACGGATGCAGGTCTTTGGGGACTACTGCGGCGACTGCGGCGCCGACCTACCTCGCTTGCGCGGCCCCATATCTCCTCGGCTGCCAGGCCATTGGCGACCCAGGTCAGACAGGCAAGTGCGACGAGGACGACCTCTGCGGCAACCTCGCCGTAGGTATGCCGACGCGGTGGTTCGGGGGCTCGTCGGGCCCGGCATCGGATCGCCATCTGGCGAGCGCTCAAACGTCGCGGCCCACCGATTTTGAGGACATGCGCCGCCTGCTCACCTGCCTCGCCTCCATTGACCGCGGCATCGACATCGTGGAGCTATTTGGCGTGGAGGCGCAGACTGCGGGCTCGTTTGTCCGCCGCCCTTCCAGGGCGGGCACCGACTTCGATTCGGTCGCGGGCCGCGGCCTCAACGACGAGAGCCATCGGAGAGTTGTGGAGAGGTGCGTCCGATACAATCGCCTCCTAGTGGCCATGTGGCTCCCGCTTGCCGGCCTCCTGGTCGTTGGGCCACGTTTCATTGCCGGCGCAGCCACCCCGGCGGCCGATTCTGCGGCTGCGTGGCACTGCTGCGCCTACGGCTCGAAGGCCATTTCGACAATGAGCAGCCCGACCCATCTCGGCCGTGCGACGAGCCGCCTTGGCCAGAGGTCCTGGCGGCACAGGTTGCGCGCGAGGTCTTCTTCGACCAGTGCCGACTCGGGCTTCGAGGCCGTCGCGGGGGCATCTCGGGGAAGACCGCCTGCGTGTTCTCCAGATCTCCAGGGATTCTCGTTCAGTTCGCGAACCCCCGGTGCACTGGCCGACATGCGCGCGCGCGTCGAGGGTCGCGTCAGTTTTGTCGCCCAAATTTGGCCGTGGAAGATGGCCGAGCGGCCTGTCCAGGGGACTGTGGACCTGCGCCGCCGCCTGAGACGCTCGCATCTCGCGTGCTATGTTCGTTAAGGCGATGTCGAAGCGGCGGCGCTCCCAGCAGTGGCCTCCGGGGCCGCGGAGAGCGAAATCGGGCGCGCAATGGCCGCCGAGCGCGCGCGCTACTCATGCGAGGCGTGCAGGCGCAAGATTCTATGCGCTTTCGGGATCTTGCGCCTGCCGCCGTCTTCGCGGCGTCCCGATCCACTGGGGGTGCCCCGGCTGCCGCGGGGAGAAGGGGGGCGACCGCCGCCTTCGCGCGCCGCGAGTTCTGCGAGCGCAGGTTCGCGAACCCCCGCTCGCAGCCGCGCCCGCGCAGCCGCGCCCGCGCGCGGGCCGGCGCCCTCGAGCGCCGGCGCGACCTGGCGAACCGCGCCCTCCCAGCGATCAGCAAGCTCAACTACATGGCAGGGCCGACCTCGGATCGGCAGACGAAGCCGTCCTACCGCCGGCGCCTGCAGGTGCGCCAGGGCCCAACTCGTCGCCCCGCGCTGGGGCTCCGGGCAGCGTCTCTGGCGACTGTCGTAGATTGGCAGAGTTCTGGTTCTGGCGACGGAGCCGGCCCAGTGGCAGGGGCGGTGCCGAGGCGGTCAGCGCGACGAGCTGCCGACGCAGCAGTCGGCAACCCGACTCCCGCCGATTAGGCTCGCTGCGACGTCGCCGCGTCGCTGCGAGCGCTGCGCGGCGACTCGCACGAGGCGCGCGTGCGAGGGCTGCGCGAGCTGCGCCTCCAGCGGTGGCGCGCCGCCGAGGAGGAAATAGCGCGAGCTCTACGAGCAGCCCCGCGCCGCGCGGCGGCGCAACGGCCAGGGGTTCGCGGGCAGGCGCGACTCGACGCTGCCTGGGTCCATCGCGACCGTTTGTGGACCCAGCTGTTCGGTGCGATGGGGGCCTTCGTCGCGGGCGGCGAGGGCGGCGCAACCTCGACGTGCTTCGGGGGGCGAGGGGCGCAGGTTGACATCCGGGCCCCGCGCCGGCGCGCTCGTTTCATAGAGCGACGTGGTTCCGTGCTACGGCGCTTGCTCGCGCTGCGGGGGAGCAACTGGGGCGCGTTGGCATTGCGGCCAATTTCGACTCGATGCTGGCTCGCGCGATGGCAGCCCTCCATGCTGCCACCACTCGACGCAGACGAGGAGGGGTGAGGTATCTGGCGGCTATGTCGCTGGCGCCGGCCCCTCTGCTGGTGGAGAAGCGCAGCCGGGCCGACTGCAGTGGCGCGTCCGAGAGATCGCGCTGCAACGCATGATCGAGGCTACTTCGATCTCCCGCGTCGGCCGCGCCCTCTGGGCACGCGCCGCCAGGGCTGGAGCGAGGCGCTTCAGTCGCCTCTGTGGACCTGGCTAGAGACGAGGCTGCAGTCAAGTACTGCGAAGCCGAGATGGTCTGCAGACTGCGGGGCGCGCGGGCTTTCATCGGCGCCGTCTTCGACGACGGTGGCACCGGCGTGGCGCGAGCAGGCCTGGCCTCGGGATCGCGTGGGGGACTGCCTGGTACACTTCGCGCCAGGCTCAGGGGCCAGGGCCTTCGGCTATTGAGTGGGCGCGAAGGGCGCGCAGCTGACCGAGCAGGCTCGGCGGCGCCCCGACATTCTCGGCTCTGGGCCACTTCTCCCGCGCATGCTTTCGTCTGTCAGGCTTTTGTGCAGTTTGTTTTGTGAGCATCCGGAGGTCTGTGAGCGACTGGCTTCGCCGCGTCCGCAGCTCGGCCATCCGGCGGTTCCTGCAGTGCCCGGGCGACGTCCGACAGCTGCGCCCTGGCGGCGTCGCGCCCGACGCCCGCCGCAATCGTCGGCGAGCAGTGGGAGGAATCTCGCCTTATCCAGTTTACCTTGGGCGACAAACGGCTGCTTGCAGCTGGCGCCGGGCTGGGCCCAGACGGGGCGCTTGGTGATTATGTCATCGACGACTCCGAGGGCGCCGCCAGCGCCGCCGAGGGGGCTCGCCAGCAGCCCTGTCGGCCATGCCAGAAGGGGCCGATAGCGACTACTGGGGCCGCGCCCAGCAAGTAATGTTGGCCGCCTCGCAGGAAGTTCAGGGGGCGGGGGGTCTGACCCAGGTGCTGCAGGAGTGCGCCGACAGTCGGCGACAGATCTCCGCTGCCGTCGAGCGCGCCGCGGCCGGCCGATGCCGCGTGCCGCGCGAGCGGCCCTGGCACCTGGAGGCGCAGCGCTGGCGTTCGAGCATGTGTGCCCAGTGCCGCTGCTACTTGCGCGGGGCCTCCCCGGTCGATTGCGCCGCGCTCGAGAAGGGGGCTCGGGGGGGGCGCGTGTGGCTGCGTGCTTGGGCCCGGCGGGGCGCGAAGCATTCCTGAGCTTTCGCGAGGAACTGTCTGGCGACTATGTCGCTGGCGCTCCCGCGACAGCCGCGTTTAATGCGCATGCTGCCGTCGAGGTCCAGGTCGCGCGATGTCGACCTCCTTGCCGAAGAGAAAATGTCTAGGCTGTCTGAGGAGGTCGCCGGAGGCATGTTCGAGGAGCTCACCTTCCGCGTCAAGTGCAAGTGTTTCGAGGGGCGGCCGCTCGGGGGCGCCGGGAACGTCGTGGGCTCCAGACGTGTTTTCAAGTGGAAGCGCCGGAAGGGATCGGGCGGTGAGACCGTCGGGATCATCTGGCGCCGCGTGGCTGCGAGAGGTCTTCGCGACGCGGGCGCCAGGGACGTCGGGGCGTTCGCCGGCGCGGCGAAGCGGGCGTCGCAGCGCGCGTTGCCCCCGGCCCGGAGGCGGCGCGTCGCCCAGACTGGGCGCGCGGCGCCGCGGGCGTCGAGACAAGGCATGCCCGCGGGGCGCGACCTGCGCCTGGATGCAGGGGCGGGGCGAAGCAGCCCGCGAGGTGAACTTCGCCCTGCCGCCGGGCAGTGCAGCTATCCTCTGGCAGGTGCCGGGTCGCGAGTCCTTCGACGAGCGGCTCGAGTGCCCGCGCTGCGTCGAGCCGGGCGCGGGCGGCAAGGATGCCCCCAGAGTTCCTCCATGAGGTTCGCCCGGGTCTCGCGCTCACCGGAGTGCAGAGACGGGGCGGGGTCTGGAGTTGCAGGTCAGGCGCGAGACGTCTGGTAGCTATGGCGCTGGCGGCTCAGAGCTAGTGTTCGTGCTGTCCATGCGCGTTGATGATCTGAAGATCGCTGGGCGCGAGGGGCGCGTCGACCGGCTGATCGTCCGCGTCGGGGGCGTCGGCGAGATGAGGGGGGGGTGCGACGACATCGCCAATTGTGGAGCCCACCGTTGCCGCAATGCTGACGGTGCAGTGACGCCCGACCAGGGCGAGTGCATCGACGCCCTGATCCCCGTCGGGCACGTCGACATGGTCAAAGCGAAGGCCGACGAGCTGGCCGGAGGTCAAGTTCCAAACTTCTCTGTTTCCCTCCTAGGAGCAGCAGCGCGCTCTGCTCGCGCAGCGCCATGTCGCACTGTGCAGCGTCGCTCTGCAGAGAGCCGAGAACACTCTGTTCATGCGTCGCGCGATGCGGCTCAATTCCGTCGTTCTGGCCAGGCAGGAGATCAAGGTGCGCGTCGCTTTCACAGCCGCGGAGTGCGCGGGGCGACTGCGCGCGCGCAGCGACGGTGCACCGGGCGATTGCGCGCGCGGTACCTTAATATACCTTGACTGCCTCTCCTGCCTGTTTTCCCGCTGCCATTGTGGCCCAAGGTGGCCTCATATTGCGCCCGCTCTATAATTCGCGTTGCACCATTTTCCGTTATGCAGCAGCGTCTGAAAATACGGCTCCCCATCCGGATCCGTTGCTCTTAGCCTCCTGGGGCCTTCTCGTGAGCCCATGTGCGGCCGCCCGCGCGCAGAGGTGCCCCCGCCGCTGCTGCCGCCGGGCACGCCAGCCGCGCCGCGGGCGCTGCCGCCGGCCTCCCTCAGGCCGCGCGGCAGGAGTCGGAGGGCGCCAGCCGTGCGCTGATGCCGACCCTGGCCAAACCCAACCTTGGCCCAGGGTCTTGGGTGATGAGACCTATATCTATCCACCGCCCCTGGCCAGGCCCATACTAGGCCCACCGATCGCTGCATGTGCATCCTTGGCCACGCCAGGGTGGCATGTACCGCTCCTGGGCCCACCGATTTGTGCCATCGGCATGGGCATGGAAAGAACGGGTACGAAGACCCACAGGCGTCATTGTCCATTCTGCGCAGGATTCGCTGTCGGCGTCGCCGCGGACGTTGTCCATTCGAAACAGAAGGCCGCCTGCCCAACATCGGGCGCTGTGTTGGGCATCGTACCCATTTCTGCTCGGACCCATTGCGGGCTTCCAAAATTTACACCGATGGCCAGCCCGATCCTGGGCACAGGATCGGTGCTTATGCCTTCCTGGCCATGCCAGGAGGGCGTATTCACCGATGTTGGGACTAGGGTGGACCTGGTCAGGATCGGTGTGTGCGTATAGCTGGCGCCTTCACAAGGGGGGCGGGCTTGCCGGCTGGCATCGCCGTCGTCCGCTGGCGCTCTGGCGTTTCGCGATGGGGGGCGATAAGGTGTGGGAGAGACTATGGCTGCCGCCCAGGAGGGGCCCTGGATCAGCGTGGATCAGCGACAGGTCCCGTTTCCGCGCAGGGTCGGCACACATCTTCGCCAGATCAGGCGGCGCTGGCCTGATGTGCTTTCCCCGATCTCTGGATCTGGCGCGCACGCGCCAGATCCACGCATCCGCCATCCATGCCCCCACCGCCGAAGTGTCACCCACCGCTTCGGTGCCCGGGACCTCGGCCTGCCCGCATGGGCGGGCAGATATCCGTATCCACCGCTCCCGCGACATCCCCGGGACACCACCCCGCGGCAGTGGACATGGGCATCTTCTGGCGGCGCCATGTTAGTGCGTGCTCGAAGCGAGGGCCCGCCGTCGTGGCCGCCGCCAGTCGCCGCCGGCCGCCGGTCGCCGTCGTCGCCGTCGTCGCCGTCGTCGCCCTCGCCTCTGCCGAGGGCGTTCGACTGCGAGACCCCGCCGCCCCCCGCCACTGAGCCGCTCTTGCCGCCAGAGGCCCGGGAGCCCTGCCGCGCCGAGCGCGCTTTTTGCGCCCTTTTGCGGCCTCATGCTCCCTCTGCCACACGACGACATCTGCTACAGGGATTCCTCCTCTTCATTCTCTTTTGCCCCACAGCTTCTCGTACAGTCGGACCAAGGCAAAAAGATCGAGGTCGGCTCGGGGAGGGTACCCTCATGTTCTTCGTGTCTGTTGGATGTTCCTGTGCATCTTAGGGGAGGGCACCCTCGACTGCCTCTCATTTTGACCAGCGGAGGGTCTCATGTTCTTGATCGGGCGAAGATAACTATGCACATTCACCGATCTTGGACGGGTCCATCCTGGGCCCAGGATCGGTGCATGCGTCTTCCTGCCCAAGGCGGGAGGGCGTATGCACCGATCCTGAGCTCAGGATGGGTCCGGCCAGAATTGGTGTATGTGCGTAGTTCTCTTTCCTCTTCCTGAAGGATGTTCATCTGGCCTGGGTCCGACTGTATGCCTCGCGTACATGTCTCAGTGCACAGTACAGCATCCCGAGGCTTCGGCCTCATTCGCTCGGCCTCCCGAGACCCGGGCACTTGTCCTCATTGCTTGTTCGTTCGCTCGTTTTCTCCCTCCTTCTCCTCCTCCGGCTCCTTCTCCCGCTCCTCCTGCGAGGGGGGGGGGGTCTGCTCTTCCCACGAGATCCAGTGAGTGCCCAACCACGCGGGCCAGCATAGCGCCACCCTTGCTCCCTCCTGCTCCTGCTCACGAAGAACGGGCTTTCCGCGCTCCGCGCGGCCCTCTTGGATCGGTCTGCCTGGGCACCCTTGGCGGCGCCTTTCGGCGCCGCCCCTGGCGCGCTCCGCGCTCCCGGGAGCGGGGTCCAGCACCGATCCAGGAAGTCCGTGAGGGCCTCCGAAAGTTTCTGCTTTATGCAGTTGCTTCTTCGTGTACCCTCTACCCCCTCGTCCTTCCTGCTTCTCTCCTCCTGCTGCTCTTTCTTCTCTTCCTGACCAGTACTCCCCGTACCCCTCCGCCTCCTTCTACCTCTCCCCGTCTCCCTGCCCCTCGCCCTCCGTCCCTTCCTCTCCCGCTCCTCCTCCCCCTCCCTGGGGAGCCAGCAGAACCCCCTTGGGGGTTCCCTCGGCCTCCGTCGCAGCACCCTCCCCGAATCCCGAAAGCCCATTTTTCCTCTCTTCCTTGGCCGTTGCCACTGCGACTGTCATGCAGATAAGGGGAATGCTTCCAGATATGCTTATATACATCGCTGTTAGGTTACTTTGCCGGGATAATTCCTTTCTTCCTTGTGCCTCCTCGCGCTCCCCATCCTTCTCCTGGGCCTCCCGTTTTTGCTCTGGTCTTTTGCCCCCCAAAACAGCGCCTGCACTCAGGGGCTGTTGATTGCTTTCCCAAGTAAGTCTGAGTCGGGCATGCCCCTCTACAGGGGGGCATTTTCAGACGCAGTTATTAAGACATAGCCTGGGGACGATTTTTTTGTTTAAAGCACTCTTGGCAGGGGGACATGCCTGCCCGCACGGGGGACCTGCCTGCCTGCATCTCTTGCCCCAAGTCCGCCTGCGGGGTGACACAGCCCGACCCACAGTGATCGACTGGGTGCCCGGCCCTCGCCGGGTGCCCGCGCTCGCTGGTGCGCCTCGTGGGCGCCTCGCGCCGGGCACCGCACCGCCTGCGCCCCTTGGCTGCCCAGGGCCGCTGGCGGCGGCAGCAGCTCGGGCCGCCTGCGGTCCGCTCCAATGCGTCTCGATCCGCCCGCCCGGGCCGCGATTCGCATTCGATGCGGTCGGGCCCCGTTCACCGGCATGGGCCAGGGCCAGCCGGAGGCGCGGCGCGGCGATTCGATGCCGATTCGATTCGGGACGATTCGCTGGCGATTGGATCCGCTCACGATCCGATCCGATTGCGCGATCCGATCCAGCGCAGACCTGCCATCTCAACGACGGTCGTTGGCTAAGGTTTCACTGGACGTCTTTGGGCAGGGAAGGTGGTACAGCCCCGTCGGCGGCATAGCGAGACGTGCTGCTTTCCTCTCTCCGTCGTCAGGGGTTGCTTGGGGCGTTTGAGCGGGCAGGCCTCGTTGTTACATTTTGAAGACACAGAGACCTGATGACACCCTACTCAGTGCCCACAGCACGGTGGCCGATACGCGAAACGAGTTGGGAGCAGGTCCGCAGCGATGCCATCCCATATTGTTTGTGATAGGATTAAGGCGGGCCTGTCCCTCTACAGGGAGAATATTCAAAAATAGTAAGTAATAGTCAGGGGACGATTTTTTTTTGACCAGTTTCGGTCAAACAAATCGTATCGAATTTTCGTCCAAATCCCCCCGTAGAGGGACATGCCCGACCTAATGATAGGACTGCGTGAGGAAGGATCCCGGTACATCAGAGCATCAGCATCGGCTCGGCGCGCGCCTGCCCCCCTCCCCTCTTCTCGAGGTGCTCGTCCGCCCTGCGCTCGGCACTGCTGCGGAAGGCACGGGGGCGAAGACCGACGGCACGTCGTGCCCACTCAGATCTATTTGGTGTAGCCTCGTTGCAGCCTGACGCCACGGTCGAGCTTGCGCTCGACGGCCGCGCCGTACAATGGCCTCCTCGCCCTGGCAGCGCGTGGTTTCAGCTGCCCGCGCCCCGAGTGGCGCACGGCTTCCTGCTCGCCAGCGCAGCCCTTGCACGCTGCGCCCGCCAGCCCTTCACGCACACCCCCTGCGGCGCCTCCTCTCCGCGCGCCACCTCTGGCCAGATCTGGGCCCCCGTTCCTGCGGCGCCGCGCAGGGCCACTCGCGCGCCCGCCTCCCGCCCAGGGCGGGCGGCCAGAGACCTCTCTCTCCTTGGAGGGAGAGGCGACGCGGCGAGGACGCCTGCGGCGAGCCGCCGCCGCCGCCCCCCCCATCCCTTCTCCCGCCTCGTGGAAGCGTCTGCGAGGCCAGTCATCGGGCCGAAGCCTTGCCGAACTGCTGGGCTGTGTGCCCGCCCCCCCCCCCGCCCCAGCCGTGGCGGGGACACTCCGGGAGCACCTGGGGGAGGAGGGGGTAGATGAGGCGGCGGCGGAGGATGCGGCGGCCTCCTGGAGCCTCCTGGGGGCTCTTGCGGGCCTCCAGGGGGCGTCTTGGGAGCCTCTTGCTGGGTTGAACTCGGCCGCCCTTGCCAGCCGACCCTCCCGCCCCGCACAGACTTGGAGGTTCTCACCCAGGCTGGGCACGGCACGTATTAAATCGGGCATGTCCCTCTACAGGACGAATGTTCAAAAATGGTCAAAACATAGTTTCGGGACGATTTTTGGAGTACTGTCGAGCAGTGTTGAGTATCTATTGGACTACTTATTATTTTTCGTCCAAAATCCGCCTGTCGGGGGCGTGCGCGGCCTAAGGCAAGTACCCTAGCGGTCGTGCGCGGCCTCTGTTCGACAGACCATCTCTTTGCGTGGGCTTGGCCTTCCGAGCGCCACGGCGGTGCGGACTCGGTTTCGGCCTCGGGGGCGTCCCCCTTCCCGCGGGCAGCGACTGGCTGCCCTGACCGAGCACATTGGTCCTCGGGAGGAGCCTTGCCCCCTCGCCTGATCGATTGACAAGGCGGCAGCAGCGAGGGCTGGGTGTTCGCTTTAGCGATGCTCCCCCTGTGGTGTATCTCATGTTCCATTCCATCTCGCTTCTGTGCGCTCCATTCGATTCCAGTCACTATTTCAGTGTCCATTCCATTCTCCATTCTTCCTTCGCCCCCCACCTCGTTCTTCTCCCTCTCACCCCTTCATCCTTCTCCCTCCCTCCTCCCTGCTTTCTGCACCCTCCCTCTCCTCCCGCTTCACTCATTTACTAGTCCCTCTCCCCTCCTCCCCTCCTTTCCCCCACCTCCCCTCGTCCTCCCTCCCTCCCTCTCCCTCCTCACTCTGGCCGCGCCCCGCTGTTACTTTCCTGGGGAGACACGTGGCACCCGTGATCGGTACACGGGCAGCTGTGATGCCGCGTCTGTCCTACCCTTGGTCGCCCGCGCCACAGGCGCCAGCTGCGGCTGCGGAGTGCGGCGCCGACTCGTTGCGGCCCCCGCCCCCCTCCGCCGCCCTTCCCTGCGCGCTGGGCCCGCGAGGAGGAGGCGGAGGATGAGGAGGAGGAGGCGGAGGCGGAGGGAAGGAGAAATGATGATGACGATGATGATGCTGCTGCTGATGATGCTGATGATGATGATGATGCTGATGATGATGATGACGATGACGCTGATGCTGATGCTGATGACGATGACGATGACGATGATGACGATGATGAGGATGATGAGGAGGAGGAGGAGGATTACGATGATGCTGATGCTGACGCTGATGCTGATACTGATGTTGATATTGATGATGAGGAGGAGAATGAGGAGGAGGCCAGGGCGGAGTAGGAGGAGTACGAGGATGAGGCGGAGGAGGAGGAGGAGAAGGACGGAGGCGGATGAGGATGAGGAGTAGGAGGAGGATGAGGATGAGGATGATAATGATGAAACGGATACTGATGATGATGATGATGATGATGATGATGATGATGATGATGATGATGACGATGCTGATAATGATCATGATCATGATGCTGAGGATGATGATGTTGATGATGAGAATGATGCTGAAGTTGCAGATGATGATGCTGTTGATGATGAGGATGATGCTGCTGATGTTACTGATGATGATGATGCTGTTGGTGGTGGTGATGGTGGTGATGGTGATGTTGATGGTGAGGTTGCTGATGTAGATGCTCATGATAATGCTGATGCTGATGTTGTTAATGATGCCGATGATGATGCTGCTGATGATATTGATGATGCCGATGATGCTGCTGATGAAGACTATGATGATGCTGCTGCTGGTGGTGTTGATGATGCTGATGATGACGATGGCTGATGATGGGGATGATCATGCTGATGATGATGATGCTGATGGTGATGAATGTGGTGTTGATGTTGATGCTGATGATGATGCTGATGCTGATGACGCGGACGATGCTGATAATGAGGATGATGCTGCTGATGCTGACGATGGTCCTGGTGATGATGGTGATAACAGTACTGGTGATGCTGACGATGGTCACTGATGATGATACTGATGATGATGCGGATGCTGATGATGCTGATGCTGACGCTGATGCTGATTCTGATTATGATGCTGATGATGCCGACGAAGGTAATGTCGATGCTGCTGATGCTGTTGATGATGGTGATGCTGCGGATGATGATGGTGATGATGATGCTGCTGAATATGCCACTGCATTATGCTGATGATGATGTTGTTGATGACAGTGATGCTGCTGCTGACCCTGCTGACGCTGCTGATGACGATGGCTCTGCCGCTGATGATGATGCTAATGAAGGTGCTAATGATTATGCTGCTGATGATGATAATGCCGATGGCGATGATGATGATGATGATGCTGATGCTATTGATGATGCTGATGCTGCTGATACTGATGATGTATGGTGATGCTGATGTTGATGCTGATGCTGATGATGATGATGATGCAGGCGAACATACTGATGATGCCGTTGATGATGACGATGGCGATGCCGATGGCGACTATGTTGATGATGTTGATGATGCTGATGATGCTGATGCTGATGCTGATGATGATGCTGATGTTGATAACGATGTTGATGTTTCTGCTGATGATGATGCGGCTGACGACGATGATGATGCTGCGGATGATGATGATGCTGATGATGCTGATGATGATGCTGATGGCGGTGATGATGCTGATGATCCACAACTTGATGATGAATTCGATGATGAGGATGAAGATGAGGCGACTGATGATGCTGGTGACGATAATGTTCATGATGATAAGACTGATGTTGCTGCTGCTGATGCTGCTTCCGATGATGATGCTGATGCTGCTGTCGATGATGTTAATGGTGACGATGATGCGACTGCTGCTGAGGATGATGGTGTTGGTGGTGCTGATGCTGCTGATGATGATGATGCGGCTGCTGATGCTGATGTCGACATTAAGGATGACGATGCTAATGATGATGATGCTGATGATCATGTTGATTAGCAGGATGATGCTGATGATGATGAGGATGCTGACGCTGATGGTGATGATGCTGATGCTGATGCTGCTGCTGATGATGGTAATGCTGATGATGATGATGACGCTGCTGCTGATGATGATGAGGCTGATGCTGATGCTGCTGCTGATGATGATACGGTTGCTGCTGCTGATGATGATGATGATGATGATGATGACCATGATGATGATGATGATGATGATGATGATGATGATGATGCTGATGCTGATGCTGATGATGATGATGATGATGATGATGATGATGATGATGATGATGTTGAGGATCGCGCTCTCCGAAAGTGTTCAGTCGCCGTATCGCGAACGCTCGCCGCATGCTGCATTACTGGCGTGCCTAACAGCCGCGCCTCCTTCCAAGGTGCTGCACACTGCGAGGAAAAACACAATTGCCCCCACACCTCGGGCCGTGATATGAACGGTGCCACACATGCTAGGGGTATGGAAAAGGGGGTGGCGCGCGCCACGCGGCGGCATAGGGAAGCGTTGCACAGACGAGATGCTGCTGATGATGATGGTGATGATGATGATGATGATGCTGATGATGCTGCTGCTGATAATGATGATGCTGTTGTTGCTGATGATGCTGAGGATGATGCTGAGGATGATGAGGATGACGATGGCGATGACGATGGCGATGATGATGGTGATGATGATGATGATGCTGATGATGATGATGATGACGATGATGATGATGATGATGATGATGATGATGATGATGATGATGATGATGCTGATGCTGATGCTGCTGCTGCTGATGATGATGATGATGATGATGATGATGATGATGATGATGATGCTGATGATGATGATGCTGCTGCTGCTGATGCTGATGCTGATGTTGATGTTGATGCTGCTGCTGATGATGCTGATGCTGATGATGTTTATGATGATGACGAGGATGAGAATGAGGATGAGGATGAGGATGCGGATGAGGATGATGAGGAGGAGGAGGAGGCGGATGAGGTGTAGGAGGATGAGGAGGAGGAAGAGGAGGAGGATGAGGAGGAGGGGGATGGCGGACTGAGGAAACGGAGGAGGAGGAGGAGGGAGGGAGGATGAGGATGAAGAGGTCCAGGAGGAGGACGAGGAGGCGGAGGAGGAGGAGGAGGAGGACGAGGATAACGGAGGAGGAGAGGGGCGGGTGAGGCGGAGGGGATGAAGGAAGGCGGCTGGGATGATGGATGAGCGTGAGAGGTGGATGAGGAGGAGGAAGAGGAGTAGGAGAGGAGGAGTTGGAGAGGAGAGGGGATGCGAAGACGGTGCTGCCTCATGATGATGATGATGATGATGATGATGATGATGATGATGATGATGATGATGATGATGATGATGATGATGATGATGATGATGATGATGATGCTGATGCTGATGCTGATCCTGATGCTGATGCTGATGCTGATGCTGATGCTGATGCTGATGCTGATGCTGATGATTCTGATGATGCTGATGATGATGAGGAGGAGGATAAACGGGAGAAGGAGGAGGATGAGGAGGAGGGGGAGGTGGAGGGGGAGGAGTGGGATGAGGCGGAGGAGTGGGATGATGCTGCTGCTGTTGACGATGCTGATGCTGATGCTGATGATGATGATGCTGATGCTGCTTCTGCTGATGATGATGCTGATGCTGATGCTGATGCTGATGCTGCTGATGATGATGATGCTGATGCTGATGACGATGATGAGGATGATGATGCTGCTGATGACGATGATGATGATTATTATGATGCTGATCTTGTTGTTGTTGATGCTGATGCTGCGGTTGATGATGCTCATGATGATGGTTATGATGAATATGCTGCTGCTGATGATGATAATGATGCTGCTGATGCTGCTGATGATGATAATGATGATGAGGATGACGATGACGATGAACGATTGATGATTATGATGATGAGTGATGATGATGATGATGATAATGCTGATGTGATGCTGACGATGATGATGATGATGATGTGATGGTGATGAATGGTATGCTGATGCTGCTGATTATGCTGATGATGATGCGTGAGGACGGTAATGGTGTATGAATGATGATGATTGTGATGATGATGACTATGAGATGACGATGACGATGAATATGATGCGAACATGATGAGGATGATGATGATGATGATGATGATGATGTGATGCTGATGATGATGATGATGATGGATTGATGATGATGATGATGATGATGATGAATGATGATGATGAATGATGATGATGTTGTGAGTCTGATTGATGACGATGATGATGATGAGATGATATGATGATGATGATGAGTGATGATGATGCTGATGATGATGATGATTGAGTGATGATGATGATGATGATATGATGAATGAGGAGATGATGAGAAATGATGAAATATGATGATTATGATGATGATGATGATGATGATGATGATGATGTATGATGATGATGATGATGATGATTATGATGATGATGAGATGATGCTGATGCCTGCTGCATGATGATGATGCTGATGATGATGATGATGATGATGATGATGATGATGATGATGATGATGATGATGATTGATGATGATGACGATTATGCTAATTATGATGAGTTGATGATGATTAGGAGATGAGGGGGAGGCCGGAGAGGAGGGGAGGAGGAGGTGAGGAGGAGGCGGCGGAGGGAGAGGATGAGGAAGGAGGAGGAGGAGGAGGAGGAGTAGTAGGGAGGAGGAGGGAAGGGGAGGAGGAAGGGAGGGAGGGAGGGTGGAAGGGAGGGAGGGAGGAGAAGGAGGAGGAGAGGAGGGAGGAGGAGGAGGATTAGGATTCGGATTAGGAATTGATAGGATTAGGATTAGGATTAGGATTAGGATTAGGAAGAGGCGGAGGAGGAGGAGGAGGAGGATACGGAGGAGGAGGATGCCGAGGAGGAGGAAAATGAGTAGGAGGTGGAGGAAACATAAGACGAAGAAGAATACGAAGAGGCGGAGTAGGAGGCGGAGGAGGAGGAGGAGGAGGAGGAGGAGGAGGCGGCGGCGGCGGGGAGGAGGAGGCGCGGCGGGTCGGAGGAGGAGGAGGAGGAAGGGGAGAATGGATGCTTAGGAGGAGCAGGAGGAGGCGGAGGAGGAGGCTTCCTGGAAGAGTTCAGCGAGCATCTTTCCAGCGTGCTGCGGGACAGGGCCTCGCACTGTCACCTCGGAAGGGGGAGCTGAGCTCGGGAACGACACGCACCAGTTCCATATTACCTGTCGGAAGCTTCGGAAAAGTGACCACCTCACCCGAGGAGGAGGAGGAGAGGAGGAGGAGGAGGAGGGGAGGAGGATAGGAGAGGGAGAAGGAGAAGAGGAGGAGGAAGGAGGGAGGAGGAGGAGGGAGGAGGAGGAGGAGGAGGAGAGGTTGCCCCTGCCCGCAGATCCCCCCTTTTCTCCAAAGTCTCCTCCTCTTCCACTCCTCCATCTCCTCCTCTCTCCGAGTACCTGGATTTGGTAGTTGCCCTTGGTCCGCCCCCTGTTCGTCTCGTCGTGTGCGTTCCCCCCCTGTCCGCCCCTTCCTTCCTGCTTCTGGCTCTCCCCCAGGCTCTGCGGGAGCGTCGGGCCCCCATAAGAGGCAGCGCGTCGGTCGGATGCAGACTGTGTCCTCCCAGGGGTGCCACTCCTCTCTCCAAATGCCTCCCCCTCCTCCGTCCCCTCCAGTTCCCCCTCCTCCGCCCCCCGACGACGGGCGACGGCCCGTGTGAGCGTTCCGTTCCGTTCCGCTCCGTCCCTCCGCCCCCCCTTCCTGCTCCCCACGTCTTCCCTTCCCGCTGGGTCCCCAACACCTCCTCCAAGTCCTCCTCTCCTCCTCCTCCTCCTCCCTCCTCCTCCTCCTCCTCCTCCTCCTCCTCCTGCCCCTCCTCCTCCTCCTCCTCCTCCTCCTCCTCCTCCTCCTCCTCCTCCTCCCCCTCCCTCCTCCGAGGCTCTCGTCCAGCCTCGCTCACGCGGAGCTGGCTCCTCGGAGGGCTCTCCCTCCAGGGGGCTGTTCGTGCGCCAGGCGGCTCCCCGATGCCTGCTCTCCTGCGCTCCTCCTCCCACTCCTCCCCCGCTCGTCAGAGCTCCCCCCCCCCACCGCCCGCATTTGCACTTCGTGACGCCCTACCCGACGCCCAACGCCTCAGGCGCGCTGCGGCGGGGGGGCAGGACCCCTCTCTCTCAGGGTCTGGCGCTCCCCCGCTCGTCAGAGGTCTGGGCTGTTGCGGTGTATCTTCTGTTCTAGCAGGCACACGCGGTCATCCAGCACGTGGCCAGTGCGTTTTCCTCTCTCGCGTGCAGGCTGTTTCGGGACATGTAGACGGCTGGCCTCTGGCACTGGCGTGCAGTCAATGCGCACATGAAGGACGAACGGCTTTCTAAGGCTATCCTTGCACCCTTGCCCATCCGGCCCATCCTGGCCCCTTTCGCTGGCCGCGCCCCACTCGAAAAAAACGCCGACGGCCTCCCGAGGCCCTTGCATCCTTAACGCGCATCCTTATCCAAGATGCTTACGCCATTCCGCCAACCTTGCACAGGAAAGCATAGGCAGGGCGAGAAACTCCTGGAGGCATGCTGGAGTCTCTTGGGATGCCTCTCGGCAGCCTCCCGGAGCGTTTGCCGCTGCGCCTGGGGGGCCTGCGGTGCCTCCCGGGGGGCTCCTGGAGGGCTCTTGGGGCCTCGTGGGGGCGGCTAGCGCATCCTGATTGTGCGTTTTGACTGCGCCTCCTCCTCCTCCTCCTCCTCCTCCGCCTCCTCCTCCTCCCTCATCCTCCTCCTCCTCCTCCTCCTCCTCCTCCTCCCCTCCTCCTCCTCCTCCTCCCTCCTCCTCCCTCCTCCTCCTCCTCTCCTCCTCCTCCACCTCCTCTCTCCTCCTCCTCCTCCTCCTCCTCCTCCTCCTCCTCCTCCTCCTCCTCCTCCTCCTCCTCCTCCTCCTCCTCCTCCTCCTCCCCCCTCCTCCCTCCTGCCTCCTGCCTCCCCGCCCGCAGGTTCCCCCCGGGGCTCGGGCCGCCGCCCGGCCTGGGCTGCCCCGGGGGCGAGGCCGGGGCCCAGGGCAGGCGGCCCCAGGAGCCGCGGCGGCGCGGCCGCCGCCGCCCCTCCTCCCCTCCTCCTCCTCCTCCTCCGCCGCCTCCTCTTCCTCCTCCTCCTCCTCCTCCTCCTCCTCCCTCCTCATCCGCCTGCTCCTTCTTCGCTTCGTCGACGCGGCCCCCCCCAGAACTGCTCCTCTCACGGCTACCACCGCCAAAACACTGATCCCACCACCACCTCGACCTCCTCCTGATTCTGATGTTATGATTCTGATTATTCTGATTCTGATGTTCTGATTGTTTCTTGATTATTTGGAAGGATTTTTGGTATGTTGAAATTTCCCTTCGGAATCCGCCTGTCGGGAGACATGCCCGACTTGACGGTAGAGTAGGCTCATCGCACGAGAAGCCGGGTCTTCGACGGGTGCCCCACGATGATCGATTACACGTAAGAGTGACCCTTCGCCGGAGTGACCTTTGGTGCGGGCCCAATGGGGCCTCCCGATCGCCGAACGCGATGCGGTAGTGGCGTCCTGCGCGCTTGTGTTTGGCACCCCCGCGGCCCCCAAGAAGCCGCGCACCAGAGGTCACTCTTACCCAGGGTCACTCTTGCGTGCAGCCGATCCTTGGCCGCGCCGGGGAGGATCGGGGGAACGTAAGACTCGAGTAAGCCAGAGCTCGGGTTTGCCGACGTTTTTTGACGAGCGCGCCCCGGATTTTGGCGGTCCCGTTTTCGTGGCGTTTTTGCAGCGGGAGGTCGCGACTAACTTCAGATCGGGCCTCGTCGTTTTTCTTATGGCCCCGTCAGGCCAACCCGAGTCCCCCGTACCCGAGTCTTACGTCTCCCCGAGAGGAGCAGGAGGAGGGGGCCCAGGGCTCCTTTCGAGTCCTCGGATTCGATTCGATCCGATTTCGATGGCTCCCGATGCCGACTCGGTTCGACTTGGGACTCCGATGTGGGCTCCGATGTCTCACTCGAGGCCTACCAGCCTGCCGATCTCTGCCGATCCGACTTCTCCCGACTGGGCTGCCGATTTCCGCCGATCCGATTCATTTCGATCGCCGATTCGACTTTTCGATTCGATTCTCGGCTCTCCTGGGGGCAGCGTGCGGCGTGAGAAGGGGAGTAGTGCTAGTCGCTACATGATGTTTCGCACGGGCAAATCGGGAGCAACGACGGGGAAGATCAGGAGGAGGCGGAGGAGGAGGTGGAGGATGATGAGGAGGAGGAGGGAGCATCATTGGAGCCTCTGGTGACACACTCTTGGGGCCTCCTGGGAGCTTCCTGTGAGCCTCTTGGAGGCATCTTGGGGGCCTCCTTGGGCCTCTTGGGGGCCTTCGGGGGCTTCTCGGGGGCCTCTTTTGCCGTCTTGGTGGGCTCCTGGCCCGTCTGACGCCGTCGGAAGCCGTCTTGGGGGTTTCTCTGGGCCGGCTTGGGGCCCTCTCGGGGTGCTCCAGGGCCGTCTTGGAGGCCCTTTTGGGGCCGTCTTGGGGGCCTCTTGGGCCGTTCTGGTGTGTCTTGGAGACCTCTTGGGCCGTCTTTGGGCCCTCTTGGGGCCGTCTTGGGGGCCTCTTGGGCCGTTCTGGGGCCATGCTGGAGGCCTCTTGGGCGACCTTGGGGCGATCTTTGGAGGCCTCTTGGACCGTCTTGGGGCCGTCGGAATGCCGAAAAGGAGCAACTTCGGAAATCTTTAAAACATCTAAGGAACATCGCACGATTTTGGCCTCGTCGGGCCTTCCTGGAGGCCCTCTTGGAGGCCCCTTGGGCCGTCTTGGGCAATCTTGGAGCCATTTTGTGCCGTTTTGGTGGGCTCCCGTCTGACGCCGTCGGAAGCCGTCTTGGGGGCCTCTCTGGGCCGACTTGGGGCCCTCTTGGGGTGCTCCAAGGCCGTCTTGGAGGCTTCCTTGGGCGTCTTAGAGGCCTCCTGGCCCTCTTGGGGCCGTCTTGGGGGCCTCTGGGGGCCATCCTGTAGGACCACAGGGGGCGGCGAATCTAATGGTCTTCGGTCCACCCCGCCACCGTGCCCGAGCTGTGTTTCAGAGGCCTCTTGGATGAAGATGGGGGACTCTTGGGTTCCTCTTGCGGGACTCTCGGAAGAGTCTTGGGGGCTTCCGGGGGACCTTTTGGGGTTCTCTTGGGGCGTCTTTGGGCTCTTGGGGGCCTCTTGGGGCATCTTGGGGGGGCCTCGGGGGCCTCTGGGGGGCTCTTGGGCCATCTTGGACTGAAGGCTCGAAATGTCCGTTCGTCTTCCCCCTCTTAGACCCCGCTTAGGGCCCTCTTGGGTGACTCTTGAGCCGTCTTGGACGCCCCTTGGGCCATCTTGGGACCCTCCTGGGGCGTCTTGGGGCCCTCCTGGGGGGCCTGGTGGCCTCCTGGGCAGCCCTGGTGCGCTATTGGGGGCTTCTGGAGCGTTGAGAAACGGAAAAGGAGAGAAGGCGAAAATCTTTCAACAGCCTTGAGAAGATGCATGATCTGGGCCTCTTCGGGCCCTCTTGGGGCTGCTCTTGGGCCCCCTTGGTTTTTTTTTGGGGGGGGGCCTCTTCGGCTGTCTTCGAGCCATCTTGAGCATCTGGTTGCGATTCTGGGGCGACTCAGAGGCTCTCTTGGGCCGTCTTCGCGGCACCCTCGGTCCCTCCAGGCCCGTCTTGCTTCCGGGAGACGCGCGCGGCGCCCCCCGAGGAGCCCCCGGAACCTCCCGGCCCCGCCCAGCGAGCGCCCGGGAGACCGGCCGTCCGGGCCCCTTGGGGGCCTCGAATCCTGGCAGCAGCAGCCCAGAGTCTCGCCTCTCTGGCGGGGCTGGCAGGCCCTGCGCGCCCTGGCTTCACTTCTAGCGGGGCATTTTTTTTTTTTTTTTTTTTTTTTTTTTTTTTTTTTTTTTTTTTTTTTTTTTTTTTTTTTTTTTTTTTTTTTGTAAATTATCCCGGCAAAGCAACCTAACAGCCATGTGTAGGAGCCGGCCGCGGCAGCCGGCCGCCCTCCCCTCCTGCTCGTCCTCCTCCTCCTCCTCCTGCTCGTCCTCGTGCTCCTCCTGCTCGTCCTCTTTCTCCTGCTCCTCCTCCTCCTCCTCCTCCTCCTCCTCCTCCTCCTCCTCATTTTTCTCCTGCTCCTCCTCCTCCTCCTCCTCCTCCTCTTCCTCCTGCTCGTCCTCGTTCTCGTCCTCCTCGTCTTGCTCGTCCTCCTCCTCCTGGTGCTCTCTCCTCCTCCTCCTCCTCCTCCTCCTCCTCCTCCTCCTCCTCCTCCTGGTGGTCCTCGTTCTCCTTCTCCTGGTGCTCTCCCCCCCCTCCTCCTCCTCGTCCTCCTCCTCCTCCTCCTCGTCCTCCTCCTCCTCTTCCTCCTCCTCCTCCTCCTCCTCCTCCTCCTCCTCCTCCTGGTAGTCCTCCCCCTCCCCTCCTCCTCCTCCTCCTCTTCCTGGTCGCCCTCGTTCTCGTCCTCCTCGTCTTGCTCGTCCTCCTCCTCCTGGTGTCTCTCCTCCTCCTCCTCCTCCTCCTCCTCCTCCTCCTCCTCCTCCTCCTCCTCCTCCTCCTGGTGGTCC